CTTTTTTTTTTCTGTCTCTCTCTCTCTCTCTCTCTCTCTCCCGCCTCCACGCCTTGCTTTTCTTTTTTTTCCTCCCCTTTGCAGATGTTGCCTCTCTGAGCACCTTATCGGGACCCATTTACCTTTACGGCTGTCTGCAGCGCACAGCTCGCCACACGGTCACCCTGGCGTGGAGGGGAACAGTGGAGGCAGATCATTCTGCTGATCCCAGCACCTTTGGTTATTAAGGGAAGCACCGCCACCTCCTTGATCGGTTCCCTCCTCCCTTTTTGCCAATCGCCATCCCACGACAGCCTACCCGGAGGAAAGAAGTCGGGGAGGGGGAAAGCGAGGACACACCCGCACACATACTGTACCCGGTGTACACGGTGAGGATGCTGCAGACAACATGAGGTGAATATCATCGGCTGCCCTAAATTGGAAATTCATTTTTTTTTTACCCCGCTCTGAAGACTGAAGACCTGATTGTCGCAGCCGGTTTTCACCTTCCGTGGTACCAGAAGTCCAGCAGGAGCATCAACTCACATCAGATATGAAAAATATGTCTGGAGGTATGTATGAAATCAAGATAGAGCAGCTTACCGGTTACCTATCATTGGCATTGGCATTATGTAGTTAATGCACTGATTTGCACTTGACTTGCACCGGAAAACGTGTTAATAGAGAATAAGCCTGCAGTTATACATTTGTGGTATGTTTTGTGAGGATTTTATTTTGTAAAACTGTGCTCCCACTCTGTGAGTAGAGATGATGCAGACAAGAGATACAGTTTTTTCTCTTGGAACCTATTTCCTTCTATGGATAAATTATTTATAGATGTTTTTGAATATTTCAGAGACGGGCACCATTTCAAGACTAAAATGCTCCAACAAAACTAAACTGAAGTCAATTAATATGAGGTGTTTGTTGTGTTGGTTTGATACAGCTGTAAATCCTGAAACCGTCTGGTACATTTGTGTTTAGACTGCAGCGGTTTTCTATGATATTCTAGACAGGATGCTGTCTGTATGAATTTGGTGCCTGCTGCATTGCCATATTCATGCATGGCTTCACTGCAAAAGGTAGTCCCATTCATTTCAGTAGATACTGTCCATTGCAGCAGATCTGTGTCCTAATTTATGAGCTTCTGTACGTTTTATGTGCCAGTTAGACCCCGAGTTTACCTGCATTGAAGCAATTTATATGCAAGACGGGTGGTTTATTTGCATATTAATTTGGCCAAGTCAGGAGCAGGGGTGTCAGTCTCAAGTTTCCAATAGCTGATTCATTTTTGTATCGACTGCCTTCTCATAACAGTATAACTTTACATAACTCAAATCTGATGACATTGTTTCAGAGGGTAATTTTCATCTATTTACAGTGGTTTCCTCTTCAGGCTAAATCAAATTCCTGACATCTCTGGATTAAATGGCAGAAGTATTGAGTGCTGAATCATGCCTCAGGTTTACCTGACCTTGTTGTGTGTCTTTGCTTTATCTGTCCTACATGCAGTCAGATCCTAGGTGACATCCTGTGGCCGTCAGGTCTTTACGGTGTTGAGCCCCCTCCTTCTCCTGGCCCCTGCCTGCAGTTCTCCAGGCTGCAGGACCCAGACTCACTGAAAAGTGCAGGCCTCCTCCCCCTGCAGAATGACTGTTGCCACAGGCGACCCCTCTGACGAAGCGGCTGCACACCCGGGGAACCCGCAGGACTACGACCCGGAGGCCGACCATGAGTGTTGTGAGAGGGTGGTCATCAACATCTCAGGGCTTCGCTTTGAGACTCAACTCAAAACCCTCTCCCAGTTCCCAGAGACACTGCTGGGGGACCCCAAAAAGAGGATGCGGTACTTTGACCCGCTGAGGAACGAGTACTTTTTCGACAGGAACAGACCCAGCTTTGACGCCATATTGTATTATTACCAATCAGGGGGGCGGCTAAGAAGGCCGGTCAACGTCACCCTTGATATTTTCTCAGAGGAGATTCGCTTCTACGAGCTGGGAGACGAGGCCATTGAGATGTTCAGAGAGGACGAGGGTTTCATCAAGGAGGAGGAGCGGCCTCTTCCTGATAACGAGTTTCAGAGACAGGTGTGGCTGCTGTTTGAGTACCCTGAGAGCTCAGGTCCTGCTAGGATTATTGCCATAATCTCTGTCATGGTCATCCTGATATCTATAGTCAGTTTCTGCCTGGAGACCCTCCCCATTTTCCGCAATGATGAAGACGATATGCACAAGTCTCACGCAAAAGTTTTTTCACCTGAGACCAACACCACAATCATCAGCTATACATCCACCTACTTCACTGACCCCTTCTTTATCCTGGAGACTCTCTGCATTATATGGTTCTCCTTTGAGTTTCTAGTGCGCTTCTTTGCCTGCCCCAGCAAAGCGGGCTTTTTTGGTAATATAATGAACATTATTGATATTGTTGCTATCATCCCTTACTTCATCACTCTTGGCACAGAGCTAGCAGAAAAGCCAGATGATGGTCAAGCGGGTCAGCAAGCCATGTCTTTAGCCATTCTCAGGGTCATCCGCTTAGTACGAGTCTTCAGAATCTTCAAGCTCTCACGTCACTCCAAGGGGCTTCAGATTTTGGGTCAGACCCTGAAAGCCAGCATGAGAGAGCTCGGCCTGCTCATTTTCTTCCTCTTCATAGGGGTCATCCTTTTCTCAAGCGCCGTCTACTTTGCTGAAGCAGACGAGCCCGAGTCGCAGTTCGAAAGCATCCCCGATGCATTTTGGTGGGCTGTGGTGTCCATGACAACAGTCGGTTATGGTGATATGGTCCCAACTACGATTGGCGGAAAGATCGTGGGCTCCCTCTGTGCCATTGCAGGTGTGCTGACCATTGCCTTGCCCGTGCCTGTCATTGTGTCCAACTTCAACTACTTCTATCACCGTGAGACTGAAGGGGAAGAACAGGCGCAGTACCTGCAGGTCAACGTGCCCAAAGCCGATTCAGCCGAGGAGCTGAAGAAGAGCCGGAGCGGCTCCACCATCAGTAAATCAGACTATATGGAGATCCAGGAGGCTGTGAACAACAGCAACGAGGACTTTCAGGAGGAGAACCTTAAGACGGCCAACTGCACACTGGCCAACACAAACTATGTAAACATCACCAAAATGCTCACAGACGTGTAGTCATCTGCTATTTCCCTCCCCGTCACAACGGGAAATGTGGAGCTGAGCAACTGGACAGGACAGGTGTGCAGCCTCCCACCTCACTTGTGCTGGAAAAATCAAGGCAATAGAATTCAGGATGTTGATGATGATAGACAGCGAAAAAAAAAATATTACAACAACAGACCATCCGCTCACTCCGCGCTCATCCTGTCTTCACTCCTCACAACTTGCCCTTAAAACTCCTGATAACTGTCAAACAGAGTGAAATTTCAAATTTTGCATTTCTGCATGGAGTTGGCTTTGTGTGGCTGTTTTAAAAAAACAAAAACAACTAAAGATTCCCTGCTCACAACAGTAGCCAACAGTAGTGCATACAAAGAAAAGAAAAAAGGGAGAAACACAGCAAGAAAAAAAATTATTTATTGCTTTCTAAAAGAAAAAAAGCAACACAACACAAGCCCTGCTTTAGTCCCCCTTCCCTTTGGTCCCTCATTTCCCAAGGCACACTGCTTTGCCATGCGCTTTCTGAAGAGCCCTAGTTGCGCGCTACATATGCTGCTTCCTGGAGCCAATGAAACAAAACTGTCTTATGCTTCACCATTTAGAAATAAGAGGATGTGTGAGCATAAAGCAAGCCCACTCCTGCGCTGATATGGCCTGTGGGTGACTTGTGACGAGGTTGGTGGTTAAGTACACCACGTTATTTCAAGGATGAATGACAGCCATCAGTGCTAAGCTAATGGTTCGACACCTTTTTTTTCCCAGCAGGCATCAGTATCTGATGAATGGCTGAGAATGGCCTTGACTTTTCACTGCTTTGGTCTTACATGTACTGTATGTATTGCAATGCAAGCTTTCCCCCTTTCATTCACCCAAAACTGGTCTTACTGCAGAGCTTTGAGGACAACTTGAATGTTTCTTCTTGTTTTGTTTGTTTTTCACAGTTTCTCACACACACATACACACACACACACACACAGACACACGCACACACAGTACTTCTTCATATAGATAGTTACGTTAACAGTGACTTAACTGATAGCCGGTAGGTAGGCAGGTGCTGTTAGTAGTAAACATAGTCAGTAGATTATTGCATGACATTTTTATCTGAATGAGAATTTCCACTTGTTTCTCGACTGCCACTTGCTTCATCACACCACTGTATATTTGTCTGTACACTGCCTTCTATACAAATCCACACTTTTAAAAGGATGCCTGCAGGTAGCTGTTACAAGAACCTAAAGCTGTATGTTCTTAAGGAATAATCATAAGGTCAAATCCTACACTTGATGCGGTGTCCTTGTCAATATTAACATTCCATGTAGAAGTCATTGCCGTTAAACTTTTGCCAGGTCGCTGTAAACGCACCGCAGCTGAGCTGTGATTTCAGGCGTAAACTCACACTCTAGTTTTGGACATTAATCCCAGTTGCAGATGTGATAGACTTGCAGTGCTGACTTTTTCACAGGTTTGTCAAATGATCACGTCCTCATGATCAAAATAGCATCTTTTAAGGACTCGTGTACGGAATAACGCTTCCCCCGAACTGCCTTTTATCTGGGTTTACGCTATTCTCCTAGTCTTGCATGACCTCAAAAACATTCCTAGAAGCATGCATTTAAGCTTAAAGAAGATGCCTCTGAGAATAAAAAAAGGATAATTATTACAATAGATATATTTATTTCATATATATATATATATATATAATATATGTATACAGACAGTACACATATACAGTACACATATACTTTTATCAGAAAATTCAAACATTTTAAATAGAGAAGAGAAAGCAAAAGCCTTTCCACAATGCGCAGATCGTTGCCATGTTTTTATTTTTAATGACAATAATAATTGTTCTGAGCACTGTTTCTGTGTTCTCCTCTTTCAGAGCCTGTTCAGAGTGCCAAAAACACACTCTTACTAGCCCTTTCAAAAGCATTGTCTTTACTGGTGAGTTTTCCAGCAAACCCCACGTCCTGAATTTAAACACAAAAAGTTTGCTTCACTCAGTTCAAAACTGCCTTCTGTGAAGTAGTTGTTGAAAGGCAGGGCATTGTTCAAAACTGTATCATCCCTAAACAGAATCTTGTAAAAAAAAATTAGTTTTTTTGGCGTTAAATTGTTCAGAATTTAAATGGAGTCTGGCTGTCCTTTTAGAAGTATTTGACGCCAGAAGCTCAATCTGTCTTTAAAAGTTGGCATCAAATGTGAATTAGGTTCTGATTCTAGGATTGTGTCCAGCTGAGATTTTCACCGTTCGCTCAACACTGCCAAGGTAACAGTGAAAGGCAGTAACGTCAATATGGGAATTGATAATTAGCAGCAGTGTAGCAGATATTGGCTAACCTAGGGGTCCTCTGACTTCACTTCTGAGTCTCTTGACTTTCTTCATCTGTTCACAGATGTCTTAGGTAATTAAAAAGGTGATGGGATAGGAAAAGGTCTTGTAGCAAGAACTGTCTAAATGAATTCTGTCATGCCAGGATGTACATCTTTATTCTTAGGGTTTCATTCTGCTCACTACAGTCTGCAGTAGCAAAATGTTTTTACGCCATTGCTGCCAATATGTGCTCAGGATGTCTCATCCAACTGCCTGACATGGGGCTTCTGAAGTCGTCTGTCCAGATCTGTGTCTGCTTCAATGTATCTTGAAAGGATTTTTAGTAGAATTTTAGTAAATAAACTGGAGCTGTTATTTTTGTTGCTTTTCCAAGAGTAGCATAAAGGTGAATTGAGACGGAGAGATCTCGAGGTAGGACCAGATTAAATAGTTGTTTAGCAATATTCCCATAATCCTTTGGTGTAGGGGTCTTTGTGGAGGACATAGATGTTTGACCTTTATGGACCTCCACATTCCAACCAAGATCTTATTGATCATCAGTTGAGTATTGATGTGAGTGTTTTGATGCACAGCTATGTAGGATTTGTTTGTGCACGAGTGTGTGTGTATGTGTGTATGAGAGAGAGAAAGAGAAAGAACCACTGAATGTCAGTGTCTTTGCCTGGTTGTATAGCTGCATTTATGCAACAGCCATTTGCATATCTGTATATGTGAAAAAAAAAACACTCACAGTCTGACCAAAAATATTTGTCTATGCATGCAAATGCATTGTATCTTATTGTCTTCATTACATTTTTTGGATGGATATTTATGATAAATGTTGCAGGTACTTGCAACATTTATCTGTTATGTTGGGCACATTACTGTACCTCAGCCAAATTCACTGTAGCGACTCATATACTGGAGTTCACAATGTGACAGTTATTTCTGCTTAAAGCACAAAGACGAGTAGAATCATCCTCATCTGTATACCTGCAGATTTAATCTGTAAAATGTTTTTATTCAGTGGAAACAAAGTCAATTAAAATGATCTTGTATTGCTTTATAGGGAGCACCACAGCCTCTAAAAATATCATCTCTCACCTGCTGAGGGACCCACCAGCAAATCCACACCATGAGAAGGGTGCCCAACAGTGAATACACTGAGAAATCTATGCAGAGAATGATTATTAGCTGGTAGTTGAAAAGATTTAAGTACAATTTTTTTGTGTTTTATCAGACACCAATTACATGTTGATTCTGAGCTGGCAATGCATTTGAAACGAACCTCTAAGCTGAAGAGACACATTTTGCAATATTCTGCTGCTATACGTCAAACACTCACACGTTAGCTGAATGTGAATATGAGCTTTCTGAGCTTTGGGATTGTTTGAACTGTGGTTTCAGCTCTTTGAGACAAGGCTCCTACATAAAATAAAAAAAAACCTCATACATACGGGAAACAAGATGATCAATATGCAATCTGTATGCATGTGTGTGTTTGAGAGCAAACGTTTTCTTTTCGTTTGACCCCAGAGCCTGATAGTGTGGCATCCACTGAAACAATATGTACAGTTGTTCACCCCCATCCTCCCCATATCATAGAGGCCTGAAAGCATCCATCAATGTTGATACAGTGGATAATGGATTTTCTTTCTATGAAATGAAATGTGACAGAATAATGTAAATAATAACCAATGGATGATGGAGCAAAAACCATGTACTATATACTGTATGTGAAGTCTGGATTTAAAACATAGTATTATCTGCACTTTACAAGACAAAAAGGACAATCTATGGACAAGAAAAACATGAAATTAAAAATGCATATAATCCTTCCAAATGATCATAACTCTGACAAAGTAATATCAATAATGAAGCCAATAATAAGTGAAACTGTGTTCAGTGTGTTTATTGTGTGTCATTACTACATTTTTTATAATTTATTATTTTAAATTACTTAGAAATTACTAAAAATGTCCATTTTGTTGCCATCAAGTGTGGATGAAGCAACTGAAAATATGCAAGAGGTGTTTTTCAAATGTTCATCCAGCCTTTTTCCCCCTCTCATCACATTGTTTGCAAGGTATTTAGTCAGCAAATGATGTGAGGAGCTAATTTTAGCTGAAGAGCGTCTGCGCTGATACAAAATGCCATGAATCGATCACAGGCCTCTTTGTTGTTATTCTTAGGACATCCAGCGTCTTTGTAGCCACGGGCAGTGTGGAGGACATTTTCAAACGCCTCCTGGTATCTTCAGCTTCTTCACTCTCCTTTAAGTGCACAGTATATGCTCCCTGCAGTTTAAAAGAGAGAGCAGGGTGTTCTATTAATAGCCTTTTTGTTGGAGAAAGAGATAGGAGGTGGAGGAGGAGGAACATGAGCAGAGAAGGAGACGGAGAGAAGGGTGGAAAGGAGATGGCACAGGAGGAGAAAGGCAAAATTCCTTAAAATATTATTCACAGTGAACTTTTCATGGCAGTAGAGTTCTGACATCCATGTGTAATAAGCCACAATAGAAAAAAATGACTCCCCCCCCCCCCCATAGATTCCTTTTGATTGAGTAAATTGAGGTTTGTTTATTTCAGATTCATAAATTCTGCTACTGCAATTTGAGATAGTACAAGCAAATGTAATATGTCAATTCTCAGCCGATGTTATACTGCTGTGATGTACTTCTCCTCACCTGTCACATCTACACCTGCACAGTTTTTAGAGGCATCTGCCATCTTGTCCTTAGCTATCTGCTATCTTTAGTCCACTTGTGGTTTAACTACAGCTCTGCATTGCGAGCGGGAGCACTTGGTGCCTCGGTGCTGTAGCTACATCTCTGCTGTAGTCATTAGTCTTGCTTTGATCCAGCGATGCAGTGCAGCACTCTGCAGAAACCAGGGCAAACAGGGAGAGGCAGGCAGGATGGAGCAGCCCAACCAAGGACACAGGCAGCAGGAACACAGGCCTGCTGCAGGTGGCCGCTGCTGCCACAACGTTGTTGTTGTTGTTGTTGTTGTTAGGGAGGAGTGTGTGTCTGTTCATGTGTGTTGTTTGTCAGGGATGGTAGCATGCCCACAGGAGCACGGTTGAGCAGTCATACAGGCTTGCACTGTGCTCACCAGCTTGTAATTAGGAGACGAGCGCTGTGGGACTTGCTGCTAATCCAACAGGGCTGCCCTGGCACCGGACCACACCCCGTTATTAGGAGGTGTTCAGCTTTTTACACTCATTAACTCCCTGCTCTGATATCAGTCAGTGAGGATTTCTGTCATCACCTGAGAGTCTTGGAGAGGTTGAGTTGCTTTTTTAAGCATATGGTAGCAGTGACTGGGTTTTGGTGGTTTGGCTTGAAGTGAAGATTAAAATAATGGAGATAGATGTTCAGTTTTTACATGGAAGCTTGCTTGTGCAGTGATGAGGAACAATTCAGAAAACATTACTGCCCTCTAGGGGTGTCAATTAATTATGACTAAGAACGCTTATTTTTAGTGTACTTGAAATCAGTAATCAGTGGTGGAATTCTTTACTTAGGCAAACCAATACAGTAATCTTATTCTCATACTCTATTACAAGTGAAATATTATCAACAAAAACCAAGTAACAAAATGAAATGTACTCATTATACAGAATAATGTCCCATGCAGTAATATATTATGCTACATTATTAGGTTGTTACTGATGCATCAGTGTGCTGTTTGAGGTAATTGTATTTAACCACTTTAAATACAATTAAACAAACTTAATGGTTAATAATTAAACCAGTGGTTGCCAACTCAGGGGTCAAGCTCCCTTTAATGTGTCACAAGATAAATCCAGGGGCTGTGTGATGATCAAGGGGAGGGCTAAAAACAAAGTTCTGCTACAAAAATCAACATACATTATTTGTACTTTTGAGCCTATTTGCTTCTTTTGTGAAATAATGGATAATTTAATCTCTTTCATCTTCAAACAGTTATTTAAATAAGGCTGTTAGAAGAGTAATGTCTCTTAAGTTAAACTGTGTTAACACTTCATAGAAATCTAATATGTGACAAGGGGCCCCTGCTTGACTCACAAAAAAAAGTTGGCAACTGCTCGTTTAATCGTCTTAAAAGATTTACTGCATAGTTTTATATATTATTGTAATCTGAGAAGTAACTAAATACAGATGTTAAATAAATGTAGTGGAGTAAAAACCATAACATTTCTGTCTGCAACATAGTATAAAGTAAGTAATAAGTAGCTTATTGTACTTAAGTACAGTACTTGAGTAAATATACATGTTACCTTCCATCGCTGCTTGAAATTAAAACAAATGGCATATTTCTGCATAAATAACCTGCAGGTTTTCATTTGTCTGATCAGTAAGTGA